GGGGTGAAAGTGAAATGTAGGATTGGACTACTACTAGCTGATTTGAAGAATTAATTTCTTATCTTTTTACTTTCTTCCAAAAAACAACAAAAATATATAGAAAAAAAAAAAAAAAAAAAAAAAAAAACAAACAAACAAACAACTCCCGCGCGTGTCTTCGAGATTTCGTCAGAGGGGTAAAAAAAGGAAAAAAAGAGACTCTAAATTGGAATAGTAATTTTCTCGTACTATCATACGTCAATAATAATAATAATAATAATAATAATAATAATAATAATAATAATAATAATAATAATAATGATACACGTGTAAAAAGTATGTAATAGCTATCGATAGAAGTAAGTAAAGCGATGAAGAAGATAAAAAAAAGGAAGCCTTTGGAGAATCGATATTTAGTTTACGTAACTTGCGTTTAGTATGTTTTATCCATAACAGTAGGTCGAGTACGGGTGTGTTTGCCATTGGATGAAGTTAAGACGTGTTATCCCCCATTTTTCTTATTAGTTTCATATATTTTTGTTTATCTATATTTTGTTTTTTGGTGGACGTAGTAGAAATTCGATTACTAATCAGAGGTGTGGTGGTAGTCAAGTCAATAATGGAGTTGTGTTCAGGTTTATAAACGTTGGCATATTAGTAGGAAGGAAACAGTATTGTCGGTCCCACGAGCCTCTTGATAATAGTGAAGAAAAGTGCCAGTGAGTAGTAGTAGTAGTAGTAGTAGTAGAAGTAGTAGAAGTAGTAGTAGTAGTAGTAGTAGTAGAAGTAGTAGTAGAAGTAGTAGTAGTAGTAGTAGAAGTACACAGTAGTGGTATGGTAGTAGTAGAGCTCTACAAAAAGGTGAAAAGATTGACATACTGTGATTGAGAGCAACTTATGCTGATATGAGAGAGAGAGAGAGAGAGAAAGAAAATAAATAAACATAGAAGAAGGATTGGGGTGGGTTAAAGTGAACTTTAAGATATTGGTTGAAAGTGGAAAGGGGGGTAGGATGTGTTGTAAACATTTGCTTTTGATAGTGAACTAAAAATGGATAGTGGTAGGATTTTGTTGTTAGGTACAATTTGTTTCTTTTTTATTTTTTTTTTTTTTTTAATTTGTTACTTGCCTTCTTCTCTCTTTTTTCATCCCTCCCACCTTCTCATTCTCTCTCTTGCATGCTTGAGTTTTCTCTTGTTCATTTATTCACACATTCATTCATTGTAAATCACCTGATACTTTCTATCTTTTTCTAACTAGAATAGTAGATGCATTCTCTTTCTCTCTCTCTGTTTCTTTTCATTTTGTATTTGTTTGTCCATGTGTTTGTTTGTCCGTCTGTCTCTTTCCAATTCATAGACTGATGCTTTTTTCACAATCACTCTCACTCTCCTAAATTGTCTTACTATACAAAAAAAAGCAAATATATAAAATATACTATAAATATAATATATAGTAATTAGTATACTATATTTATATAAAATTATTATAATAACATATTAATTTTATAAATGTACAATTTTGTACCAATTACTATATAATAAATATAAAAATAATAATAATAATAATAATAATAATAATTAGAAGTATATTTATATGATGTATTGTATAAGAGAAAAGATTTGCATATATACAAACAAATAATAAAGAATTTAAAAATATGAGCGTGTGTATGTGTGTCATGAATAAAAAAAAAAAAACAATAAATAATATCCTAACCATATGTATTTTTCTTATCCTATTCATCTAACACTAAATTTTGTTTTAGGTGGGAGGAATGAGACATCTTGAGAGAGATAGATGTTATTGAAAGTGAAAAGAAACGTTGATATTATTTTATCAATATTAAGTATTATAGTCTTATTATTATTATTTCGAATCAGCTACTCTCTACCAGGCAACTTTCATTCACTATTACAATCGTTTTATTAATGTACTTACTTAAGGGATCAGCTGCAGCACGACATTTTTAAAACCCATCGTTAAGCTGTAAAAGTAGCACCGATATTTGATCACGTGATCAATCCGCATCATCCCGAGAAAATGAATCAAATCATTCATTCATTTCTTTTTCTTTCTCCTTAATTTCTGTTTTTCTTTTTTACTTTTTTCTTTTTCTTTTTCTTTTTTTGCCTTCCTCATCCTCCTCCTCCTCCTCCTCCTCCTCACCCGGCTCTCCTTTTTTTTCCTCCCTTTCATTTTCTCATTTTCTTTCGTAAACATTTTATTGTATATTCAAAAAACTGATCATCAATATTATTATCACGATACGTTTGTTGTTCTTTCTTTCTTTGTTTTTTTTGTTTGTTTTTGTATTTCTTCTTACACGACGCACACGATTAAAAAGAAAAATAAATAATAATAATAATAATAATATTAATGAAAAATGATCAAAGGGGTTAAGGCTAGGTTGGAATGGTTTGCGCGCGAAAGTTGCGCGCTAAATTGAATTTTTGTTTTTTCAAATTATCTTATTACTTTTTTCATTGTAATTTAAAAACGAAAGATTATAAAAAGAGATTAAAGAGATAAATGAAAAATATTTTTAATTCTACTTTCGTTCTTTCCTATCATTTTGTGATATGTTTATTTCTTGCGATTATTTAATTGAATTTAAATGGAAATTGATTTGAGCGCGAATTTTTACGCGCCAAATTGCTTTTATTCAAATTCTTCATATTCTTTGTATTTTTGTCTGTTTTACAATTTTATTTAAAAATAAAAAGAAAATTGTAGAAATAGCGAAAGTAGAGAATTAAAAAATTCAATACCATACTATCTCTCTTTATTTTCTTCGTTTCTTACAATTATGAAAGCGTATGGTTTAACACACAAAAAAAAAAAAAAGAAAAAAATACAGTAAAGACTTTGAAAGGAAAACCTCATTTAAAATCCGGTCATCTCTGGTTTTCATAAGAGAAAAACCGAGAGAACGTGTCCGGTAATATAAATTAGCTTTCGTATGTGCTTTCGTGTGTATTTAAATTCTAATCTTGAAAATATAAAATATATCATAGTTTACTTATTCTTGTTTTTTCTTTTTTTAACTCTTCATAAAGTTATATTTTTAAAATTGTCAAAAATTTAATATAAATGATTTGTATATTATTGTGTATTACTTTTATTCTCTTATTCAAATTGCGAAAGAATAATAATAATAATAATAATAATTAGATTACAAAGAGTTAAAAAGTTTTCCTTTTTCTTCTAAGTAAAATCAAAGATTTACTTTGTCGTAATCGACTTGGTCAAATATTTGAACTACTTTCGGTGCGGTCTAATTCTTTTTCGTTGAAAGGAGTGAAGAAAATGAGGAAAGGAAGAAAAAAACGAAAATAATAAAAAGATAACAGAAATTAAATAAAAAAAAAAAAACGAAAAAGAAAAAGAATTTAAAAGATAAAGAAAAAGTATACATGAATAATGTGTACTCTTAAACATTAAACTTAATTTAAAGTAAGTTATTATTGGCGTTGTTGAGATGGTATATAAGGATGAATGGAAATCGGATTAAAAAAAGAAAAATAATGAATGAGCACGGCACCCTATATTTATTTATGCTATGTTTGATTTATACACGTTATTATTTTTTTCTTTCTTTTTTTCTCTCTTTAAATTTTCTTTCTTATTAATTTTCGCAGAGACATATTGTAATAATGTTTAAATATGGAAAAAAAACCATGTAAATATATATATATATGTGCGTGTATGTGTATACAGTTGATTTGTAATTAACGCATGATAAAGAAGTATCTTAAAGTAAAACAAAAATATACTATCTAATATCTAAATTAAAGCATGAACATGATTGAAAGGATCACTGAACATAATAAAGGAACGCATGCGTTTAATAACAAAGGAACGGAGTAAATAAAAACAGAAGTAAACAAATGAAAAAGACATAAACAAATAATAATGAAGACAAAAATCAAATGTATGGTTAGGAAGGACATATATAAATATATTCTCCAGTTATATATATATATATCGTAAAGTCACGCGTAAAGTAGATTTTCTATATTACTTGAATTCTTTTTTCGCAAGGCTGCAACGTTGCAACAAAAAAGATGCAACGATAGCTATTGCACAATATTAAAAAATCAAACTACAATTAGATTATAGGCTTAAACTTTCCGTTTCTCTATCTTCTTCCTACAAATAATTAATAAAAACTTTGTAAAAAAGTGATAAAAGATATTACTGTTCAATCGGAACAGATTAAAATTTGTTTTCGTTAATCGTACGATATTATTGTGTCTTTTTCTTTTCTTTTTCCCAATATTAAAACATACAAAATAAAGCCGCGAGCTTAATTATGTGCAAAAAGTGCACACACACCCACACGCATACGCGCACGCACACACACGGTTTTAATAAATTCGAAATGTCGATGATGATACAAAAAAAAACAAAGATAATGACAAAATATTAATGTCATCATCGGTCTCGAAGACACGCGTAGAACGAAAAGACGAAATTTAATATACATGAGTCACTTCATTTCCCAAATTGATTAATTCGTTGAAAGAAAAAGAGTTAAGAAAATCGATAACGTGATCATTCAACGTTTAATATTCTCTAGCGTAATAATAATAATATAAAAAGTAACTTTACTGTAAATATAAAAAAGTTAAGTATCGATTAAAACCATTCTCAATTTCTAAATAAATTCTAATAGTGGAGTTAATCACTTTGGGCATGTGAAACAGCTCACGTGTATATATATAAAGAGAAAAATCAAAGAAAAATAAAAGAAAAATAAAATAGAATACCCAATAGCATCAAAATTAGGATTTGATTGTTAACGTCGATAAAGATTTTCAAAAGCTTTCGGATTTGACGAGGTTATGAAGATGTTTAAGACCGTCTATCAAATCCATGTGATGAGGTGGTTCGATCACATTCACTTTACGCTCTCGAAAATATTCTCGCCTCTGCTTATGGCTATCCATGATCGAGTGCGTAGGTTCCTCGTTATCCCTATCCGTCGTGGTCTCAACCGGATCATCCTGATCGCTCACCTGTACGATACTATCTGGTATTGGTAACGGCTTGGCCACTCCTATGCGTACGGTTCCTTTGGGTGCACCTTTAAGGGCCTGCACAGCTTGGTCGAGAGTAGCATTCTCTAAAGCAATATCGTTCACGAACAGAAGACGATCACCCGGTATAAGTTTACCATCGACTTGAGCCACACCACCAGGAACGAGTGATCTTATTACTATCACAGTTTCGTTGGGGTTCATTGGATCCTATAAAAATTATACGAGAAATCAAATATTATTTATATATTTAATAATTTAAATATTAGGATGAACCACACAAATGTTCGTGCATTTATACATAAAGTAATTTTATTTACTATAAAAATTACACTATCTTAAACAATTCAATATGAACGCGCGAACTTTTTGGTTCACCCTAATACGTAGTACATAACATAGTATTATTAGAACTGTAATATATTGTATAATATTATTACTATATAAAACGTTCTTGTCCTTTTGACAACAAATAACTTTCTCATATTTTAAATATTATTCAGGTGGCATATTTTAAATGATTCATTCAAATCACCTAAAAGATTAACTTTTTTTTATCCACAAATCTTATATATGCATACTGAGACATACCTGATAATCCAAAATGGAGAACCCAAGGCCCCTCTCTCCTTTAACCAGCTCGATAATTTGCGGCTCTGAACTCCACATAGCTAAGCCCGTCAATGGCTCCAATGATCGTGACTTCATTTTGTTCAAGCTAGCGTCAGTCACGGTTGCGGTTGTTGTAGTTGAAGCCAAGGATCCATCAGATTTCGCCTTTACCAGTCGATCCGTTGTTGGTAGAAGATTTTGAAGGGATCCACCGAGAATACTCTGTTATTGTGTTGGTTCACGTTGTTATTATTATCATCAACGAGAAAAATAAAACTAAATTAAATAGAAATCAATTCAACTTACTCTGGTCTGAAATGCTGCTTGATGTTGAGCAGTGTCAATAGGACACAACGGATCCTGGGAGGCCACATTTCTTCCGCAAACCATACGAACGTGTATAGGCAATTCTTTTAAAACGCTAACTACTTCCATGTGATTTATCCCGAGCAAACGATAACCATTTACCTTGACAAATAATTTTATTATCGGCATTAATTTTGATTATTATTGTTATGTAATAAATGTAATTAATAATCCCTGTGGGGCGCTGTGTTTGTAATAAACGATAATAATTAAAAAACATCTTACTTCCAACAATTCATCCCCAGATCGTAAGGTACCATTTTTACCGACAGGACCTTCAGGTAGAATCGAACGAATGTAATGATGAGGCCTCACTTCTTGACCATTCTCAACGTCAACTGTACCTTCTAAACTAATACCAAGACCACTACCCTCTGCAAATTTCTTCAATTGTGCTACCTACTCGTAAACAATATAATATTATTATCAATAACAGTAAAGAACAAGAATTTCTTTATCAAATAAGAGATGAATCATGCGTACCACTATCTCAGTATCAGGTCCTACAATCTTTTGCCATTTGGATTTAATTGCTGCACGAATTTGCGGTGTTAATTCGCTGGAAGGATCGCTTAGAAGAGCTTCAACGTTGGTAGCTTCATCGAATTCTTCCGTTGTACTTTCATGATCTGCTTCTTGAAGTATTGCACTGTCAACGGTCGTATGCGATTCACCTTCAGGTTCTATCTCGGTAGTAGTCTCGCCATCCTAAAAAAAAATATAAAACAAAATTAAAAGAAAAATACAATTTAATATTGTATCTCAAAGTATGATACTCAAGAAGAGAAGAAGATTACATAAGAAAAGATATTACATAAATTAAGAAGCTTACTGCACTTATCGGAAAACTTGGTAGGCTCGTTATAGATGGAGAACTTGGTTGGGGTAATCTCAGTTCGCTAGCAGCAATCGCTTGTTGAAGTTGTTCGTACTTTGGTCCACGTAAATATCTTTCCAAGCAGAGTTTAACGATCTGCCCGGTACTTCGAAGAACTTCAACAGCCTCATGATTCGAATAACCCTGTAGAGAATGACCATCCACCTCGACTATCCTATCGTTTATTTGTATCTTATTACTTAAGTCTGCCGCGCTACCCTCGCTTATACTCTTGACAAAGATGCCCGAAAGTTCCTCTGAAAAATCATTAACCAACCGGTCCCTCTGTGATCTTTCACTATTAAAGTCTACCTTGTTTTAGTTGTTGTTTTTTGTTTGTTTTTGTTTTAAAGTTTTAGTTAATGCACAGTTTGTTTGTCTGTTTGTTTGTTTGTTTTAAATAATTCTTTTTAAATGAGTATATTGTTTTGTTATGTGTGTTTTTTTTTTTTTTTTAACAGCACTTGCTCTCTCACCCTTCTCGCAAACGTAGCCGGCTATAGTGATCCCAAGGCCGTAAATATCCTTCTTAAGCTCGACGGTGAAACGCTCCATTTCTGGCAGTGAATTAACATCGATGGCCTCCATGCTGAGGACCGGTAGTTCAGGAATTTGTACCGGTGGTATCGTTGGTATAACTGGCATCGCTCCAATTGGTACGGGGTTGCGTCTGGGTACCACATCCATGATGAGACTGGTTCTTGCCTTGAGAGAAGGGACACATTTCATTTCGCCATTTACATTCTAATAATTCCCCGTGCAGTAATATCACAAAACTATTCACGCGGTTCATTTTATCCGTTATTTTGCGAAGAAATTGTTATATGTAATATGTGTATGCTAATGATATATGTATATAAGTTTAGTTTGTTTTATGTATGCTCGTGTGTTTGTTAATGTGTATGTGGTTTTTTTTTTGCTTTTCTTTACTTTTTGGACTACATTTCACTTTCGATCGTAGTAGCGCACATTAGTAGTAGCTGATCAACACGTTTCGTCGCACTCACGTCGGACTCCTGCGAATACATATACCCGTTGTCGTAACTNAAATTGTTATATGTAATATGTGTATGCTAATGATATATGTATATAAGTTTAGTTTGTTTTATGTATGCTCGTGTGTTTGTTAATGTGTATGTGGTCTTTTTTTTTTTTGCTTTTTAATAATTCATAGCAGCATCGATCGTAGTAGCGCACATTAGTAGTAGCTGATCAACACGTTTCGTCGCACTCACGTCGGACTCCTGCGAATACATATACCCGTTGTCGTAACTGGCATCACCACCCTGTACGTGTCGTATGTTGTAGGTCTCAGGTGCACTGTGGACCAGGTATCTTTCCAATTCGTCTGGGTCACCAAGGATCTTCGTTGGGACGATTGGTGCATGACTTCCAATTGCCTAAAATCAATTATATATATAAGTATCATTCTAAAATTCATTTGTTAATCATTTTTATGATTATTATTAATTAATGGATCAAATGTTTATTGAAGTGAAAACTTCTTTAGAAAATGAGATAGAATATAGTATACAATTTTTCCTTTTATGGATTTTTTCTTTATGCGGTGTTTCGTATAGTTCTCATTTTTAACTAATTACAAAATTAAAATTCAATTTTAATCATTATTTATAAAAACAATACGCCTACATGAATGCAACCCTCCAGACACACTTTGAAAATGTTGCTTGCGAGCGCCACCTGTTGGGACGGCATTTTTTTGCAGCTCAAACTGTTTATGCACGCATGTATTACGGGTTGCCTATCTTTCGGGCAGAACAAAAATTTCGTCCCAACAGATGTCGCTTGCAAGCAACATTTTCAAACTGTGTCTGGAGGGTTGCATTCCTACAGGCGCACATTTTTATAATTATTAAATAAATAATTAGAAACAAAAGTAAAAATAATATTATAATAATATTGTATAATAAATTATCGTATTCCTGATACTATGCACTCGTTTCATTCTCTCAAAATTTGTTCTTTTTTTGAAGATTTTACTTCTAACTTGTGTGATCTGCAAACATGTTTTTGAATTTTTAATTGAATTTGTAATATTAATATTATACCTGAAAATCTGGAGAAGTTGGTTCAACTGGTCTTGCGACAACGAGACGCACGTGTGTTCCTGATTGTCGTAAAACAGCTGCAACCTGTTCGCTTCCCATTCCTCGTAGATTGACATCCCCGATTTGGAGTATATGGTCCCCGCTTTGGAGCCGATTATCCTGATAAATCAGAATTTACTGTTACAGAATAATTCATTGTTTAACACATTTGTGTATTTTCTCATGTATCGATAAATCATAATTCAAAATTGTTCGAGAGATTATTGTATTAATATTTGTTTATATAATTAATAAACGTGTTCTCATTGATAAATCATAATTTAAAATTACACGAAATTATTATTCAACATTTGTACGTAAACCTAAAATCCAAACTAGTTTAATAATYAATTAATATGTTAAATATAATGTCTTGATTCAAATGTAAATATAAAATATAAATTATAAATTATAATATAAATCAAATCTAAAGAATTTTAATCTAATACTTTACTTAACATATCAAAATATAATATAAATATTTATTCCATGTAATCCCTTTACCAAAATCCAAATATAAAATATAAATTATAAATTGTAATATATATATTAATAAAATTTATAAAGAATTTCAATCTACTATTAAATAATTTGTTTAACATATCAAAACATAGTATAAATATTTAATTAACCTAATTATCAGAATGTCTAGAATCCTTATTAAATTATTTTAAATTAAAAAAAAAAAAAAAAGTAGTAAATTTGATCTAACTAAAGGAGTGATCTAATGTTCATGAAAATGAACAGAAATAATTACAGTTATCAGATAAAGAAGAGAGTTAGACGTTTAATTGAAGCCTTAACGTTAATTACCCTAAAGAATTATTTCCCTTTGAAGTCTATCTACCACCAATCTATATATACACACACCTATATACAAAGGGTGGGGTATTCTGAATGATACATATATATAGAGCAAGTAGGATTCTATTAAGTCTGATAAACGATGAAGATAATCGTTTAACGCGCTAATGGCTTCACATTTTAACGGAATCCTTGCATCCTGAAAACCGTTAGAAAGTAAATATCCTTTCGCAATTAGTACGAGTTGAATCTCCAAAAGGAAATCTCTCACTATATATGTATGTCTGTGTGTGGGGAGTTTGTGAAAGTAGTAGTAGTAGTAGTTGAGGAAGATGAAGAAGAAGAAGATGAGGTAGAGGATGAAGGAAGAGATGAGTTAGGTGGATAAAGAAGAAGAGGATGATGATAGGGTGGTAAAGGATGATGAAGGGTATGAGAAGGATATGAGGTAGTTCTAGTAGTAGTTGTATGAGAGAGAGAGAGAGAGAGAGAAAGAGAGAGTAGGTTCCTGTCGATTGGATACTTTACCCGATCGGCAACGCCTCCAGGAAGAATGGTCTTGACGACGACGCCTGTGCTACGGCCTCCGATAATCCCAAATCCAAGACCGCTGCCATCATTGATAAGGTTTATCACTTCTACTTGTGCCCATTCCGTGTTCAGCTACAAAAAATCAAATTTAAAAGTAAAAAAAACAAAAACAAGAACAACATCATCATCTTCATCTTTATCATCATTTTTGTAATGTTATGAATAAATTTGGTTAATCTATTTTTTTTTTATTTTAATTCTTTTTTACTTTTATTGGGTTTTGTTTATAGATTGGGAGTTGGATGGGTTTTTGTTTTTTTTTTTACCTTGATGAAAGTTTATTTTTAAAATTAGATTTATAGACGTTGTTTTCTTTTTGTTTATTATTCTGTTTTTGTTTTCTTTTTTTTTTTTTTTTTTTTGATGGTTTATGAATATTGTTTGAATGAGAGGGTTGAGTATTGGGGAAACAATTAATATTTACCACGAGGGTGAAAAAGAAATGAAAAGAAAAAAATAAAATAAAATTTTAACGGTTCAATGTCCGCAATTTGTTTTTTTTTTTTGCTTTTTTTTTTTTTCTTTCACCGATGCAAATCGTTCCCCTTCGTCATTCCGTGTTTTTCCGATAATACGATTTCCTTACTCGTTATAGTCCTTCGAGAAAACTAACGCAAACGTCGAAGGAAGAAGAAAAAAAAAAAAAAAGAAAGAAAAGGAAGAAGAAATGTAAAAAAAAATTGCTAGGAAAAGAAAAAAAAAAAAAAAGATATGATTGGAAGAAATGGGGGAATAATAATTGCGTAGAGTCTTCCAATTGAAGGATATGAAAAAAGAAGATAAAGAAACGAAAGATTGAAAAAAAGATTCAATGAACGTAATTTGATATTGTATGTGTGACAGTAATAATAATAATAATAATTATTATTATTATTTTTTTTAATATATATTTTGACGATTAGAAAGATCAAATTAAATGAACAGAATTAATCTGATGATAGAAAATTAATTTAAAATAAAAAATAAGATTGATTTTGATGAAATTTATTTTTATATTTTTATATTTTTATATTTTTATATTTTTATATTTCTATATTTTTATATTATATTTTTTTTTTCCAAATATATTTTTTAACAGGTAAGCAATATCAAAGTGTCATGACTGTACAAGGTAGTAATTAAAATAACGATTATAACAAAGTCAACGTTGTGTAGTCATTTTCCTTGTCATTTTCAACGTTGCTCTTTAGGTTTAAAAACAAACGAGATTGGAATTTATTCGACGTGATAAGTTAATTAACAATTTTTAATAGAAAAAAGAAAAGAAAAATATAAAGTAGAAAAAAAAATAAAAATAAAAAATTTCAGGAGAAACGTTCCAAAATTTACCACGTACTTTGTACCTTACAGTAAAACAAAAACCAAAAAAAAAGGAAAAATGAAAAAGAAAAGACAAAGAAAAAATAAAATAAAATCAAACGACGAAGAAAAGACAAAAAGAATAAAAAAAAAAAAAAAAAAAAAGAGAAAAGAAAAAGGGAGAGAAAAAAAATGATAATAGGGTTGAAGATAAATTCTGCTTGATGTGAAGTAATATTTCGGGGGTAGTAACCAGAAAAGTTTTGCGTGTATGGAAGTAAAAAAAAAAAAACGAGATAGAGAAGATGAAAAGGGCATGAAGGGAAGAAAAAGGGGCAAAGGGGAAAGGGGGAAGGAAGAAGAATAGGAAGATATGGGATAAGGAGAGTTAAGAAAAAAAAAAGAAGAAGAAGAAGTCATACAGAAGCTTGGATGAAAGGATTCTGAAGTAAAAAAAAAACATGGATGGTAAAAAAGGGGATGATATTATTGATAGAAAAAAAAGAAAAGAGAAAGATAGATAGAAAAGGGGTAATAATAGGCTAAGGGATGAAAAGAAAAAGAAATCGTTGGTGAGGGTACATTTTTTTGTTTTTTTTTTTATTTTTTTTAATAGGACAAATCATTTTTTAGGAAGTTTAAAACGATACCCACACACACACACAAACACATTCGCCTTTTGACAAAGTGTACTTTAATTGATTATCTAAAGAATAAAATTATTGATTTTGCAATAAAAATGTGATACATGTAAGAGTAAAAAAAAAAAAGAAAAGAAAAGAAAATAATCGTCCTAACGATACTTGAAACTTTTTGTTTAAATAATATTTTTCTTTTTCTTTTTTTTTTTTTTCATAGGACGTATAGTTTCTCGATAAAAATAATAAAAAAGATAAACGTAGAAAGTTTCAAAACGATACATACACACATACACATTTTCACTGGGATAAATGACAGCTCACCTTTTGACAAAGTAGACTCGATTATCTAAAGAACTATCAATTTTACGATAAAAAAAGAAATGTATATACATGTGTGTATATATATATGTGTGTGTATGTGTGTGTTGATATAACGAAAAAAAAAAATAAAATAAAATAATAATAATATTCGTTAGAACGGTACTTACAACTTTTGCTTAATAACATTTTGTTCACAGGACGTGGGGTATAGTTTTATCGACAAAAAATAATAATAAAAAAAAAAAAATAAATAAAAAATAAAAGAGAAACGTAGAAAAGTTTATAACGATGTATGATGTACATACATACACATATACAGAGATACATAGGGGATAAATCGACACGACTCGTACCTTTGACAAAGTAGATTCGATTATCTAAAGAACCTATCGGTTTTACGATCAAAATGTATAGAACAGAAACCATTTATCGTAACAACACCTACAAAACTTTCATTAATAATATTTTTTTCATATAACGCGATAATGGTTTATCAAGAAAACAATTTTTGTTCTTTTTCCCAAACTGAAAAGATACGCAACAACGATAAATGGATGATACGAATTTGACAAAGTACGTAAGTAGTAAAACACGATTATTTAGAGAACAATCTCGACAATAAATAAATAAATAAATTAATTAATTAATTAATTAATCAAATAATCCTTTCACCTTTGAAACTGCATAATGGATTGCTATTCTATTTTTTTTTTTTGTAAAAGTTTGTTTTGAAAATATTAATTAATTTAAAAAACTAGCAAACTTTTGGTTTACCCTAATAACTAAATAAATAAATCAATCAATCAATCAAATAACCCTTTACTAACTTTAAAATTGCATAGTTGATTGGTGTTTTATTTTTTTGATAAAAATTTACTTTGAAAATATTAATTAATTTAAAAAACTAGCAAAACTTTTGGTTTACCCTAATAATTAAATAATTAAATAAATAAATAAATGATTGAATGAATGAATATAAAAATAAAAACTTACCACCATGTCAGGGCCACTCCTGGAGGCGTCGCTGACAGCGGAAGGGCTTCTTTCGATGACGAGGCCTCCGTGACCGGTGCCAGTGGTTGGTGGTACAGGTGTTGAACTAGGTGTAGGTATAGGTGTAGGTGTTGGCGTAGGTGTTGTTGCAGAAGTTGTACTGTTAGGTTGACTGGATTTAGGTGTTGGTATTGGTGTAACAATTGACGATACTGACACCGATTGATCTTTATCCGAACCAATTTGATTATTGTTGTTAACGTTGTTGTTGTTGATGTTGTTGTTGTTGATATTATTGTTGTTAATATTATTATTAATATTATTATTGTTGTTGTTATTGTTTCCGTTGTTTCCAACAAGACAGGCACCACTAACACCACTAACACCACCACCAACAGCAACAACACCAACACCAGCACCGATGATGGCAGCTCCTCCAACAGCTGCTGCTCCTCCTGCGGCCGCTGTTGAACTCGAACCTCCGGACAATTCATCCGTCGGCAAAGAATTCCCAACGTCTTAAACAAAAATCATTATACCCAAATTTCGTTAATAAGAACAAAATCGATCGAATTAGGAATAAAGGGAAACGGGGAAGAATGTCTTTTACCTTACCCTCTCTCAGGGTCACCCACCTATCCAACTATCAACTTCCATTCCCCCAATCTTAACCACTACCACCCCCATCTTCCATTTTTCTTCAACTAGCTAAGCCATTAGAGATAGAAATAGAACTTTCTTTCTTTATTCCTTTTTTATTCTTTTCTGTCATCGGAAGCAATCTTCTTCCGATCGACAGGACGACGACGACGACGACTACCCTTCCTTTCCCTACCCTAGCCTCCTTTACCCTTCCCTTGGTTTTATTCCATTCTACTAGATTCCATTTTCTACGAAAGGACTAACTATATGAACTAATATTCTTTTCGTCAGACGAGATGATGTTTAAAGGACAACGGATGTGAATAGAAAGGAAAGGAAGGGTAGGATAGGGTAAGAGGAAAGTGACAGTAGACATTCTTGTTTTCTTACTTATTGTTTTCTAATTATTTATTTAATAATTATAAAAACATTACGCCTGTAAGAATGCAACCCTCCAGACATCTCCTCCCATCATCTGATGGGACGGAATTTTTGTTTTGCCCGAAAGATAGGCAACTCGTAATACATGCGTGTATAAACAGTTTGGGCTGCAAAAAAATGCCGTTCCAGCAGATGGCGCTCGCAAGCAACATTTTCAAAATGTGTCTGGAGGGTTGCATTCCTATAGGCGCACATTTTTATAATTATTAAATAAATAATTAAAAAAAAAATAATAAAAATATGATGACAAAGATAGTAAGTTGATTTGAAAGAATTCTATGATCGTTAATAGAATTATAATCATGTGGAGTAAAATGAAATTGTTTATATAAAGAATAATAATTGTTTATTGATAATATAAAAAAAAATATATAATTCATACCTTGGTTGCTTCTTGCCACTACCAACTCGACCAAACCGCGAGCTTTCTGAAGAATCGAAATTGCTTGCTCGTGTGAAATATTTGAATCCAATGGTTGACCATCTATCGCAAGGATTTGATCACCCTCTAACAAACGACCATCGCTGAAACAAAATTAATTTAACAATTATTTTAAATTATTTTTTTATTATCAACAAGATTATATAATATAATTGAGATTAGAATGACGACGATTAGAATTCATGAATACAATTATTATTATTATTATTGATTTGTACTACTTCTTATAAATTTTAATTTTTTTTTTATTTTTTTATTATAATATGCAAAACAGGTCAATCCAACGTTTAGTATCGTTGAATGATTTTATTTTATTTTTTATTATTTATTATTCTTCTTCTACTACCATTATTATTCTTTCTAAAAGAAAGAATGGATTTTTATTGGCAAAGTAGTAGACGAAAAAACAAAAAAAAGAAACAACAGCAACCAAACACTGCTTTAGAATTTATTTGGTCGAAGAAACAAAATCGGAAACATTTTCACGCTCGGTGGTGTCACAATGTATCCTGTGATTTTGCTTAATCTAAGAGTTGGTTGGTTGGTTCGTTGGTTGGTTGGTATTGTTAAATAAAAAAGAAGTTTGACCATGAACACGATTTTTGACACACGAGTGAATGTAAAACCAATGTAAAACCATGTGTAACCATCTATGACAAATCTTTTTATTGAATCCTTGCCAGATTGCAACTTCCCTTTTTTTTTTTTACACGTCGGATTTACAATTAATTTGGTCATCAATTGATTATTTTTTTTTTGTTTTCCTTTCCTTTGTTTTCTCAATTCGATTCAATCGGTGGTTATAGTTTGTCATGCAAATTCTTTTCTTTTTTTTTTTTTTTAAATGTTCAACCTTTAAAAGTATTTGGTTAATTGTAAAATAAATTATTTCATACATATTGAAAAAGTAATAAATTGAATGGTTTAAAACGAGGAATGTAAATTTGTGAGACAAACGATGTGTCGAAAATGATGTCGTGTCCGGTTCGATAGATCGAAATTTGCAACCCTAACAAGGATACATGGTACGGTATTTAGTAGCACGATGCGGTTACGTTACCTAATTTTGTTGAAAGCGAATTTGGTATCCTATGCTGTCGCTAATGACACTGAACTCCATTCTCTCCCTGTCTATCCCTGTCATATACATGCACATATGTATAAAGTACATATTTGCATATACATTGAACATATAGACATGTGTATATATACATATGTGTGTATACATTCATCTGGTTACTCTCCTAATTCTACTTCATTTCCTCTATTCGAAAAGGAAAATCATAACCATCGATTTAATGATTTCGTATATACCATACAACCCAATTTACATATTTACATATCTACAAATACGTATATATATATATTGAAAAATTTACATGGTAATTTGCACATGTTGAATTTATTTTTTCAACTGATTAATTAAAAATTAATGAACACTTGTATTATTTAATTAAAAAAAAAAATAAATAAATAAACACTAATTAATTCCAATTAAAATAGACCTTGAAAATCTGTAAATTTTGTTACATTAAAAAAAAAAATAAATAAATAAAATAAAATACACCGATTTATTATAATTCGTAGCAATGATATTTTAAATTTGACAAGTTTTATAATAAATCAATAATTTAAAACTGATTTTGATTGTACACAGTTATCTGGGTTAACCTGTATACATACACATAATATACACCTGTATATACATATGTGCAAACGAGAAAACAAAATTATTGGGAAAACGAGACTGCATTTCCGGCTGATCGTGCAACGGGTTTTGCTTTGTCATTCGAGGCATGAAATGAACGACGACGAACAATCGTTTCTCGTTTATATGCACGCACTTGTTTCTACATATGTATATTTTCAACTAAAGGAACCATTTCACCCATTTCTATGTGGTTTTTATTTTGCTCGTTAACAACAACGTCGACCAACGCACAACGTTTCCATTATTTTCCTTCTTTTCTTTTCTTCTACTATTTCTCATCCTTCCACACATTTTTTTATCCTTCTACTATTTGTTATCCCATTTATTTCGTTAATTTTCTATTTCTTATTTGTATCAATTTTTAACCTTTGCTTATCACACTTAGTCCAAAGGACCAAGACCTTTTTTGCAACTTAAGTCTCATTTTTCTTAATTGTTCAACTTTGATAATTTTTTTCAACATATTTAAATTTAATTTAAAGCTATAAAACTTATATAGTCTTTTTAAGTAAGTATTAAAGAAGTCTCAAAAAAATGTTGAAGTAAATCTATGCAATATAGTTTTTTTTTTTTTTATAACGATTTTTGTAAGTGGTAATCGTGTTACTCCAAGGAGGTGGGTAAGCAAAGGTTAAGAACAAAATTTGTTGCATATAATTGTAAATAATATTTTTTTTAACCCTTTTTTACGTGTTGGTCAAATATAATATAAAAACAAATAATATGACACCGTGGAACGATTTAAAAATACAAAAGAATACGTATGTGCTAATTATTTTTTATTTGTTATTTTTTAAAAGATTACTTAACTAATAATACAATTATAAAAATCACGTAAAGTATATTTTAAATATTGTAATATAAAATTTCAAATATACTTTTTCCTTCCATTTGTCTGTCCTAAATAATTTCGTATTTCTACACGAACTACTATTTTTGTTTTATTTATAAAAAACAAAAATAAAATACAAATTTTTCTTTACCATTGAAATATTCACCCTTCTTTCCTACACCCCTAAACAAAATAAAAGATCCTAAACACGGAACATATTCAAGAAACAAATGGGACGTGACTTGAGTGTAAATTAGGAATCAAATAAAAGGAAAAGCTAGTAGTAAAAGATAGTATATAGTCAGCCACGTAACATATTTAGATACATTTCAATGTTTCCTAATTGCAAGATAAAATATATATACACAAACACACACACACAAACCTGAATTACTTATAGCACGCTTTTTAACCTTTCTTTTTTTTATCCTCCTCCCATTCCCACCCCCTAAAAAAAAGAAATGGCTAAAATACAAATGAAAATATGAGAAAGTAGAAAAAAAAAAAGAAGGAAAAGAAAACTTTAGTGAAAAAGAACACAACACGAGCGGCGTCCATTTACGTCATCGAACGATGTGAGATAAAAAGGTAAATGTAAAGAAAAAGAGATAGAAGATAGTTTGTTCTCGTAAAATAATAAAGGGCCGACCCTTTTTGAAAAGCTCCCATTCAGTATCGCAAAACGGGACAAAGGGACGAAGGAGGAGACCCATTCGTGCTTTCTTCAAACCGTTCCCCCTAAGAAGAAGCAGAGTAAGAAGTAAATTATGAATGAAATGAATATTGCGAGCTGAACTCCACCACTATCACCACCATTTTATCCTACACACACCTCCCCCCTCCCCCCTTGAGTGTCACTGTGTCTCTTTCACTACCTTTTACTTAGGGATTATTCGTAGGGCTTTACCTTAGCCACATTTCAATGTGATACCCCCGCCAGCATCACCAAAAGTACTACGAAAAATTTAAAAAGACACCTCATATAATATTAATAATAATAGTTATAATAATAATAATAATAATAATAATGATAATGATGATCCAAAATTTCAATTAATTTTAACCCTTATTGGTAGTCATAATTTTTATAATATTTTATTATATTATTTTCCATTAATTTTAACCCTTATCTGTAGTCATAATTTTTTATATTATTTTATTATATTATTTTTAATTAATTTTATCCCTTATTGGTAGTCATAATTTTTATATTATTTTATTATATTATTTTTAATTAATTTTATCCCTTATTGGTAGTCATAATTTTTATATAATTTTTTTACATTATTTTATTATATTATTTTATATTTATTTTTTATATTTATATATTCTCACTAGATAGTTATATTTAGTTTCGTTATATTATATATATACAACGACAAATTTTATTACTGTAAGAATATAACATTATTATTAAAAATTATTTATATTTTTTTTTCAAAGAGTATTACAAACTTACGAAATTATTAATTATTTAATTATTTAATTATTAATTGAATGAGTACTCCTACGTGTTTTGCCTTGTCACCTTCCAGATGACTTACGACCGAAAAAGGCTTAAAATTTGCATAAAAATTTGAATAATAAACTTTTAATTGAATTTCAATTTAGTTTGAATTCGACTGAATTCTGTCGACAAATTTCGATCTTCAAATTTGAATTAGAAATTATAGTTTTGCTTTGGGAGAATATAAATTGTGAAGAATGTGAGAGAGGAAGTTTTAAAAGAGGTGTAAGAGAGAAAGAGAAAAATAGAGAAAGAGAGAAAGAGAGAATGCTCATGTTGTTTATTATCGTCAAGATTTTATCGGTTGGTAAAACGTTATTTAATGGGCAACTTTTCTTAGAAACGATGCTTCTAAGTTACGAGCCAGTTCTCTCACACCCTTCTCTTGCTCATTCTTATATTATTTCTTACGAGCACTGCACAACGTTACTTATACTGCATGCAAAAATAGAATGAAAAAGAACGAAAAAATAGAAGGAAAAATGAAAGAAAGCAAAGGAAAGAAAAAGAAATTGTAATTAAATGCGAAGTCTGATCAAAAGACTCATATTTTATTTACCTTTCTTTCCTTTCCTTTTATTTCTTTCAATTTAACGTGTAATGTAACTTGTAAGAGAAAAAATATAGTTAATGTAAAAAGTAAAGGTATATTTTATTTTATTTTTTTTTTTATTTATATAAGTTGAGTAAATAATAATAGAACAAAAATCTATACCCCTTTTGCACGTTTATAACTTGTTATAATATTTTTCTTAAAAAGAAAAAAAAAACATTATAAAACGGTATAAAATAATAATGAATATTATAAATAAATGAATATTCATTAAAATCAATTAATATTCAAACGTTTATGATTAAAGACGCGATCATAATATTATAATATGTAATTTTTAATTTGATAATTTATTTTGCTTAAAAAAGAATAAAAAAAAGAAAAAGAAAAACAAAGATAATAAATATATACAGCTATGAATAATTTTATATTCAACGGTATTTTATGAAAATTATTATTTGACGTACTTCTACACACGTA